AGGAGAGGAATATTCCTAAAATCTCTATGCAATGCCTCAATGGGTATAAACACACAGAGCACCGTGTGAAGAGAAATGGCAGGAAATGAAGATGGCTATTTGTCACAGTTTACGACAATAACATTAATAACAAACAATAAATTTACATGGACATATAAGACACGGTAGGTAGTGAGAAATCCCTTCTACTTACAATACCCCAGCCCGTGGTGTGGCTCCGGCTGCGGGGCTGTTTTATTGCTGCCTCCCTCTCTTTCTCTCTCTCTCTCTCTCTTTCTCTCTCTCTCCCCCCCCCCCTCTTTTTTCTCAGGGTACAGGCTTGTTTTTCAAAGGACAGTTGAATTGCACGTCAGAAACAGGGAGACCAAGCCTGCGATTTTCCTGACGAATACATATCTATTCTGCAACCTCGGCATTAATTATTTAATGAATCACGTGACCAGGGGGGGGAAGGGGGTCTTTCGATTTCAGGCTCAAAGGACCACTATGACCTTCCCCTTCAGGAGGAGAAATTTTCCTGCAAAATAGGTCCCCCCCCCCCAACCCACCAATGGAATAGTATCGAGTTCTCCTCTCTTCCAGATTCACATCTATGCCTGCTGTAGCTACAGCTCCCTAACCATCTCCACCCCGACACACTTACCTACAGCCCACCTCTCCTCTCTCTCTTCTCCTCCTGCTTCTGCTTAGTTCATGGAGGTGCAGAAATAGTCTGCAGGGGCGTCTGGGGTGGGGGTGGGGTGGGCGAGAGCCCTTCTCCAAGCCCCTGGATTTCTCAGCTTCCAATTCTTCTCCCTGCACCCTTTAAGGTTAAGATTCCCCCCAACTCCCTTCTCTCCCTCACTCTTAGGAAACTGATTTTAGTGGGACCCACCCCCCCTTCCTAAATAATCAACAAAATTTCTAAAGGGACCATCTCCGAAAGATACACTTCTGAAGTCCACATTATACATGTATAAAGAAGGGGGCTTGTGGCTTTCATTCTCTTTTTGATCTCTGGTGGTACCTTTTGAAGAGGCAGAAAAGGGACTGGGTGGACAGGCGACGCTGGGACTTCCAAAGTTGAGAAGAACCGCAAGCGGGGACTTTTTTCGTTTGTGGTGTTCCTATTATAGGGAACCGAATCCTACCGACTGATTGAGAGCACGTCCAGAGACAAAGACCGGACTAAAGTTTCTAACAAAAGAAGTGGACTGTCCGCCTCTCTCTACCTCTGTCACACCCTGTCTCAGTCCCCTTACCCCCAACTCCACGGAAGACAGCTGGAGATTCTAACTGAAGGGGGGTGGGGAGGGGAAAGGAAGAAAGAGGCTTTGAAGTCAAAGTCGGCCTGGCAGCCCCGGATCCCTATTTCCCAGGTGTTAGTACCCTGAGCTTCCAATCCACAGACAATGGAGTCTGGTCAATAGGAAAAAGACTGGGGGGGGGGGGTTGCATATTAAAGGGTTCAACACCCAGGATGATAGGAGAGAGCCATTCCCTGGGCCTAGAGAGAGAAACCTTCATCTCAGAGATAAATAAAATAAAATATCCCCAAACCTTCCCACACAGCTCAACCCCAGAATGAGCAGACCAGCTACAACCAGAGTCAGAGTCCTTGGCTATGGGCTGCGGTGAGGGCGCAAAGGGGGGTGGAAAAGACATTCCTGAAGAAGCCCCTCGCTGCACATTCCCAGCCTTATCTCCAGCAGCTCTGGGGGCAGCCAGGCCACCGGCGGCCGCCGAGGGCAGGCCGGACAGGGGAAGAACAAATGCGCTTTCGGGTAGGGAGGCTGGGGGCTTCCCCTTGCGATTTGTTTGGAGGGTTCTGAACCAAAAGCAACTCAATGGGGAGAAGGCCGAGAGTCCAGATGGTTTAATAACCCCCCAAAGCAACATGCACCCCGAGTGGGAGTCGGTAGGGTCCAGCTGTGGCAGCATCAAGGTCCCTGCAGAAGGCACCGGGGCCGGCCTGGCCTCCTCAGAATCTTGCTCCCGGTGCACTGGTGGGGCGCTGGCAGGCCCGGGCCAGGCTCAGACTCTGTAGGGGGGTGGTCGGCTTTGATTGTCTCGATACAAAACACAGACTGGTATTGAATTCAGCCTGCTTGGGACGTGGGTCCCGAGCCCGTGCAACTCTCTGCAAGGTCCTGACCACAAATCCATTAAAGGGGTCCCCTCAAGAAAACTCTCCCCTAAAGTCTAAAAGGAAAATTTGAGCAAGCAAGAGAGAAGGTATAATATGCTGGGGCAGGGGAGGGCGGCGGTCTCTCTGAGCCGGAGACATTCTTTTTCAGGACAAGAACAGCAAACTGACAGGAAGGCATGCGGGGCAGGTTCTGTTAAAATGCCCACACTCTTCGGATCCTGGGAATGTCCGTGTTCAAATAAACAAGCGCCGAGAGCCAGCCGAGGGCCGAGCGCTTTCTTGCTGCCGATAAAGCGAACGTTTATACTGGGAGAAAGGCGAGATTGATTTACGAATCTGAACGCGCCGGTTTTATGGCTGATCACAAATCCGTCAGCGCTCAACTCACGCTGGGAAACTTCCCCACTTCGCTTTCTAACCAGACCCCATTCCCTGGCCGCTTCCCAGGGAGACCCACCACGGGGCCTGGGGCTGCCCCCAGTTTGTCCAGGCGGTGGAAGTGAGAGAAAGATGGGGAGGACCAGGGACCTGGAGGGAAGAGAGGTCAAAGATGAGGAGGACTAGAGGCAGCCGCCAGAAGTGTGGACAGTGAGCCCAAAGGGCCGGGGAGCCCTAGGCAGCACTCGGGTTGGGGCCTGGGAATGGGGGAAAGTGAGATCTCCATGTTCCCACCTGTAGGATAAAATCCTTGAGTGAACCCTAACCCTCCCTTCCCATTGTTTTCCTCCTCCTTCCCATTGGCGAACCCCTAATCCTCACATTGCCAGAGAGAAGCTTGTAAAGTCCCCAGGCCTATAGAGCTCCCACAATTGGTTGTCTGCCCTTATCATGGGTGCATCTCCCTGAAGCCCCAGCTTTTTCCAGCCCAGGAGCAGCCCAGCTCCCCTTTCTGCTCACTCCCTTTCCTTCCGAAGGCCTCCACCCCCTGCATTTATTATTATTTGCCATCCAGGGACAAAGAGGATACCAACCAACTCCAGTTATTTCTCACCTAAGACCAAGTCCCTAAGTGCCAATAGACCATTTACAACACGCAAACCAACACCAAGCACATCCCAGCAAGGTTCAGTCTCTCCTAGTCTTAACCTCAAAGGAGCATTTCCTCTTCCCAGCTGGAGTGTCCCCCCAACCCCATCTCCTCCGGAGAGGATGGCTGCTCATGTGGACTTTTAAGATACAGCAAGCGGCATACAGATTTGGAAAGGCTCTTAGAAACCCTCCACCCATCTCTGAAAATTAAAAGTTGCTGGAAACTTTGGCTAACATGGCAGAGCCCTCCCTGGAGATGGTCGGAAGGGTCTGCGCTGGCCCTTCCCCCAGCTCCCTTGCCCCTTTGGTGGAGAGGTATTCCACCAGCTCTGGGAGTAGCTGAGGTAAAATTGGGGGTCAGGGGAAGGGGGTAAAAGTGATTCTAGGAGTAGCTTCCCAAACAAAGGAACTTCAGGAAAAAAAATGGGTTGAGGGGTTGTGGATTTGGATATCAGACTTTGAAACACAGTAATCCCCAAGGAACTGTTCAAGTGGTGAGCCCTCTCTCTCCTTCGGACCCAGAGGCCGCCCCCCTAGCCCTTGAAGCCTTGTGGGCCTCTCCTGCCACTTCCCTTTGTCTGTCCCCCCCCCTCAGCTCCCTCCAAGCAAAACAGGACAGGAGGGGTGAGCTGGACGTGGGGACAGCGGTGGGAGCCCTGTAGGGAGACAGACCAGCACCCTCCTCCCTCCCCTGGCTGTACCCAAGCAAACACTTTTATTCCTTTTCTCCCCAATACGCAGTAACAGAAAAACAATCCAGAAATTCCAAAATAGCAAAGAAAGGGTTGGGGGCGAGAGGGGGTGGACATGGGCACACAGCAGCCCAGGGGCCGCTGGCTCCCAGCGGAGGTGTGACTTTCCCTCCGGGGCAGGACGCAGGAGCCAGCACAATGTCCAGTCTCAGAGAGGTCAAGGGGCTTCCGAGGTCATTTTGTGGTTCTAATACCGAGCTAATCGCCTAGAAAACGTGGCCTTTCCATGAACTCTCTCTCCTGCCAACCTCCTGCCTCCAAACTCGCAGTGAGCCCCAGGGAAAAAGGGCCAGCACATTCAGGTCCGAGGTAGAGCCCGCTGGCTCGCTCACCCTCAGAAGCAGGGCCCCAGGTTGGGGGGCGGGGGGCGGCGAGGGACACAGCCCCCAAACTAAGAGAGCAAAAGGAAACCAAACCGAACACGGAGCCTCCAGGAAAAAGGGAGGGGGACAGAGCTAAAGAGGAAGATTCCCGCGGCGGGAACCTTGCCTGTGAACGGAGCAGTTTCCTGCTCCAGAGAATTGGAAATATCTGCCTGGAATCCCAAGCTTGCCACAAAAAGGGGAAAAGGAAGACATCCACCTATACGCTGCTCCAAGCCTGGGGCATTCCCTCCAAGAAATGCATTCCGTTTTTCCAGGGGCAGCATGACATCTCACTGTAAACAGCTACGTGGGACACAAGCCCTCAGTGTAGACAAACAGTCACAGAACGACCGGCCACATGTGCGCGTCGCTACACACATACACATGCACAGATGCTTGGGTGCCACAGGCCCACCTGCATCCTCCAAAACCAGGACAGCACCCTGAGCTGCCTCACACACAACCTTCTCTGGGGCCCTTCGGGGACCCTCACACTCAGGCCCCAGCAGTTCAAACATTCTCCAGGTGCCAGGCCTCTCTCCCATCTGACCCAAGCATCAGTCATCATAAAAGGCCCCAAACCTGACCAGAGTCACCATAAAAACCCCACCACGATAGGGGTTTCTTCTTTCCCTTGTTTAAAAAAAAAAAAAGCAGAAGAAAAAAAAGCTCATAAAACGATTTTTAAAAAAAAAAAAATGCCAGCCCAGGCGGGGGCTTTGTTACCTTTGCGCCTCTCGCCTCCTCTCGCCCCGAACTCCTCGAATCCCATTCATGGCGAAGGGCTTCTTCCAAACTGAGAGAAAAAAGTTTTCAACTTTACGGTTCCAAAATTTTTCCCCCTCGCAGATCTGGGAGAGGCGGCTAACACTTTTTCCCCCCAACAGCCGGTCTGCGGAGATTTGCTGTTGAATAATAACAAAGGAGAGAGGATACGTATTTAAAGAAAAGAAGTGATTAATGGTTTTCTGTATAATTCTCACATTTTTCTTAGCTCTTGTCTACACAGAATGGCTGTGAACTTTAAGCTCCATAGAAATCTTTTTTTTATTCTATTCATACCTTCCAAGGAGTAGCTTTGATTTGGTTCTATAGAGGCATTCCTGGGGGGGCATATGCTTTTTAAGAACTATTTTCTCCCTCTGCTAAGGGCAGTCGCATCTCCTGGCAGCTAAACATCACACCAAAATGGATCGAACAAAGCTGGCTGCTCTCATCCTCCAGGTCTGGGCGATTTTTTACGAATCTCTCCGCAGCATTTAAACAGGCAGTTCAACCCTTTCTCAGTGCTAGGGACACCAGCCCCCTCGGTCCCTTGGCCCTACCCAGCTTCAAATTCCCGGGTGCTGCAAATCAGGGGAACACAATAAAGAAATAACAATAAAATGTGTGGGTGGAATTGGCTATTTTTATTTTCTAAAGGGAGAGGGGACTAAAACAACCAACCACTTTTCATTCATATGCTCTCCCCAGCCCTGGGCTCTCTGGAGGCAGGGTCTATACCCGGGGCCACCACAGGACCAGAGAGCTCAGGCTGGAGCCCCCAGACCTTCAAACTTCTCGTGGGTACTGCACAAAAGCGGCCCACACTTAACAGAACTTCTGAGGGTCACCTGCATTCCCTTCCCCCACTCCATTCTAGGGGTGACTGGGACCTCCGAGACAGAAAGCGATTTGGTCCCCAGTCGTACTTTCGATACTTTCTATGAGAAAGAAAATGAAAATTAATACAGGAGCAGGGCTTCACAAAAGAGGCCATTTGTCTTCTTGATTATCTATTTGCTTGTCAGAGTTTGAGCTATGGCACCGGCTAGCTCCTTTGTAATATAAAAATACTCTGAAAACCTGCAAACACCCAGAAACATCTGTGCAAAAAATTAGACTCATTAAAGCCTTAAACACCTCCGAGGAAAACGATACCTTCTTATGCAGGAGAAAAGGGGCCGGCCTCGCGGAATCCTCTCTCGGAACTTTAATAAGCAAAGAGCCGTCTGTCTAGGAGGAGACAGCTTAACCGCATTTTATTTGCTTATGACAAATAAATCATGATATGAGAGGCTTTGCCATACTTAAGCCTCTTGTGTCCTACAATGAAACATTCCCCCCACCTCCACATTAGGGAGTGGAGTCAGCCCTCCTAGTCCTTTCCATCCATTTTTTGCACTGGAGGGGGGACAATTTAAAGAACACACCCACCCCCAAAAGAAAACAAACCAGCTACCACAGTTTGGAGTCCTTGAAGATAGAAATTCCCATCGGACCCTTTTGGGGGGGGGAAAAAAACCCTCAGCCATGTACAATGTGAATCCAAATGGACTGAGGTGCTTCCGATGGAGGCTAGGGGGCATTTGTCCGTATCTTTAGATCAAGGCTTAAACAAAAACACGCTGGGCTGGTCACAAGAAACCAAACATTTATTTCTATTGTCACTCGGTACAGGACACACATTTTCACGCCAACGAAGGGTTCTAGACTCAGGCAGCCCCGGAACTAGGAAGGGGGCCTAGTTTGGAATGTCAGGAAGAGAAGAGGAGAAAGGACACACATGACATAAAATAATAATAATAATTAATTAATAATAATAATCAATGCAACAATGATCAACTATGGGAGAGGTCTCTGGCACATCATCTCCCAGACCCGGGAAGGGCGCAACATTTTATTTCCTAGTTTCACATTCAGTTTCAGCCTAGGAGGGCAGGTCACGTCTGCACAACTGGAGATGGGCCAGGGGGGTGTGCCCAGACCTCCGATGCCCTCACCCTGCAGAGACAGCTTGACCTGCCCAAGGCAGGCCCTCCCGGGTCTGCGGTCTGCGTGTCTCTTTCTTTTCTTTCTTTCTCCTTGGGCTCAATTTCCCTGCGGTGGCCAAGGCCGCCCAAGCCTCCACTTGCCCCCTTTCTGCTGCCTCCCCTTCCCAGCCCCGCCGTGGAACGGGGTGCAGTCAGTGTCCCCCGCAAAGGGGCCTGGATGGGCCACCGGGAGGAGGTGTTATGTGTGTGTGTGTCACCGTGGCCAACACACCGCGCTCTCTGGCAATCAGAGGGCGCTTTCGCTGGGTGTCAGGCCTGGGGGACAAAGAAAGAAAATCCGGGGCTGTGTTCGGCAGCGGCAGCAGCAGAGGCCGGGAGGCGGGCGGCCTCATTTGTTAGCCGAGTGTCGAGGTAATGGTGGCCGCCGAGGCCCGTCCTCTCCGCGGCAGAGTAAACAAGACGGATGGGCCCGGGCCTGGCGTGATTAAAGATGAAACGTGGATCCATCTTCGCCACAGCTGAAAACGAGGCGTGCAGCCTCCTCCTATTTCTCTTTCTGTCTTTTCTTTCTTCCTTCTTCTTCTCCTCTTATTTATTTTTTTTTAAGAAAGCAAGAGACTTGAGCTTTGCTTCTGGGGGGGGCCTCCACCGGCTCCCCATTGTGGTTTCTATAAATAAAGCTTCCCCGACCCCTTCTCTGCGTTTATTCGTGAAAATAGATAGAGGGGGGTTGGGGGGGCAGGAAGGCTTCTCCAGGCCCAGGCCCCAGGGTCTCCTCCCGCCTCTCTCCCCCGCCTTCCCGGCGCTCGCCACCCTCCCCCGCCCCAGGTCCGTGGCTCCCGCGCGCAGAGGCCACTAGAGCGCGGGGGGACCTCCGTTGGGCCGGCCTGGGGGCCCTCCGGCTGCGCCTGCGGCGCCGCCCGAGCGGATCTTGGTGTTGGGCAACTTGTGGTCTTTTTTCCACTTCATGCGCCGGTTCTGGAACCAGATCTTGATCTGGCGCTCGGACAGGCAGAGCGCGTGGGCGATCTCCACCCGCCGGCGCCGCGTCAGGTAGCGGTTGTAGTGGAACTCCTTCTCCAGCTCCAGCACCTGCTGGCGGGTGTAGGCGGTGCGAGAGCGCTTGGGCTCCCCGCCGGCGTAATTGGGGTTTACTGGACACACACAGAGAGAAGGAGAAAGAGAAAGTTTTATGGCCCCCAAAGGGAGGAGGGAGAGCACTTTCTTCCAGAGAACACAGTATCGCCCGCCCTCCCTCCCTCCCTCTCCCGCCGCCTCTTCTGACTCCGGGGGGCGGGGTGGGGGGACAGGGAAGCAAGCGGGGGCCGCTGGAAGAAAAGGAGACCTCGGAGTTTTGGAGGCTTATCTCCATGTTGTTTGGGGGAGTCTGGTGGTGGGTGGGGGGGCTCAGAGTGAGGAAATCTTCACCAGGTTTTCCTCGTTCCTCTCCCGCCTTGGCCCGAGGCCCGGGGTGGGAGAATGAGGGGTGAAAGGGGAGGGGGCTTCCCTCAACCTTTCTGCTGTCAGTTCCCACCCTCTCTGCTCGGATTGCAAGCAGTGCCTCCCCCCAACCAAAAACTTTTGCCCACTTCTGGCGCCCAGGAGCCAGGCCAGGGGGAAGCAAGGGAAAAAATCAGTAGTGGGAGTTGACTCAACGCTCCGCTTAAATACAGATTTCCTCCTCCTCCTTCTCTCCCACCTCCCGCCCCCTCCCCGACTTCCAACTTCACTGAGACTACGCGTCCCCGGCGAGAAAGTCGCTGGTGAGAATGGCCACAGAGAATGGGGAGCCGACTTCAAAGGCGCGGGGCCCACCAGGCCATAAAAATTTATGGGGGATGTAATTATGTGGCTCTGAAAACAGGCGACCGTAAATCTCGGCCGTGGCGAGTTTATAGCGGGGACAATTGGCTTCCCCCGGCTCCCCCCCGCCCCCCCCCATGCCTCCGAGGTCCCTTTGGTGTAAAGCGCCGGGGGTGGGAGGGGGAAGGGGCGCCCACGCACTCACCCGTGCTCACGTGAACTTTGCGCATCCAGGGGTAGACGACGGGCTCTTTGCACGCGGAGTGGGACGGGCTGGGGTGCAGGGGGTTCTGCGCGCAGGGAGGCGGCGGGGGGCTGCTGCTGACCGCCTCGCAGCGCTGGCCGGGCTCCGGGAGGAGGGCCCCGGAGGGTGGCGGCGCCGGAGCCCGAGGGGACAGCCCGGGCGGCGGCGGGGGCGGCGGGGGCGGCGGCGGGGGCCCGGGGTCCCGGCAGGCCGCGTAGCGCTGCACGGTGCACGCCGCGCGCCGCCCGAAGCCCGCCTCCGGCTGGAAGCCGCTCTCTCGCCTCTGGCCGCCGGCGTAGTACCCCGGCGAGTGGTCGCTGGGGAGGTAATCGCCCTGTGAGTATTCCTCGCACGGAGGGAACTTGGGGTCGACATAGTTTGAGTTGATCAAAAAAGAACTCATAGCCATTAATTTCTGGGAATTGCCCACAAAATATACTAAAATTTATTCCGACCCCTGACTCGTTTTCCTGTTTCCGAAAGCCCTCCTACTTACTGTCAAGTGAACAAAGTTAGGGCCCCACGTGATCCTGGGAGCCAATGGCCGCCCCGCCTGCGATCCCCGGATAAGGAAATCTGCTCACCCGGACCCTACTCCAGCCAAAGGGGTTTATTTCCCCTTCTCCTGCCCCCTCCCCACCCACCCACAGACACCCAGCCAACGCCGGGATTTGCATAGGGCTCCTGCGGGGCGGCCTGCCCGTCCCCGAGACCCAGGGAGAGAGCCAGCGGGCTGCCAACCGAGGGCCTGATGGGGCCCTGGGCAGAGCGCAATCCCTAGACACCCTCGGAAGTTGGGGCTCCCCGTGTAGCCCCTCCTGTCCTGCCTCACCTCCGCCCGCATGCTCTGCCTCCGTGGGCCCCTTCCCTTCCTCCCGCGGGAAGGGAGCCCGTGCGCCCAGCGTCGGCGTGGGGAGTGAAGTGAGAGGAGGACGGGGGTCTTTGCCCGGAGAGGGGAGCCCACTCGGGGGCGAGAGGCACTGAGCGTGGAGCTTTTCTCCGGCAGCCGCACGGGGAGGGGGAGGGAAGGAGAGAGGAGGCGTGGGGAGCCAGCGGGCGGGTGCACGGAGGGGCTTGTCAGAGATGAATGGAACCGCGGGCGGATCGATAGAAAATTCATGCACTAATTCGGGGAGACCTCGCCTTCCAAATCGCATTTAGCTGCGCTATTAGTTTGGCTTTGTCAGTCCGTCTGTCTGTTCCCCTCTCCTGCCCACTCCGCTCCTTCCCCGACACGGGAGAAACAACTTGGTTTCCCACACTGAACGTGAGCAGTGGATAAAAAAAAACCCTGCAACTTTTGAGAGCGCATTGAATAGCAATTTGCTAATTCCAGAACCATCGGAGCAATACTAACCGCGGGGGTGACGGCGTGGTAATTGCCACTAATCCACAGCCTCCTCAGTGCACACAGATCGCACATCCCTGTGATGCTGGGGTAGGTGCCCCGGAGGTCACACACACACACACACACACACACACACACACAATAACGCCCCTTGGTAATCAGGTATTTCCAGGGCATCTTGTCCTGAACCCAAACAGAAAGGCGACATCAACATCCGTTTGAAAAGCGCATTTCCTTTGCCTTCGCACACTGAGGACAACAGTCATTTCCCCCAGATTTTCAGTCAAACCTCCCTTGAGCCCAGAAGAGAGACTAGGTGGGCTGGAGGGAGAGGATAACATTTACAACACCACCAGCATGAACCTACGGAGAGAAGTGAAAAGGGACCAAGGCTCCCAGGGACAGACATGGGCAGATTTCAGGTAGATGATTTCTCTAACCAGTTTCCGGAGGAAAAGAAGGAAGAAGAGAGAAGGAAGGAGTCTTCGCATGGCCAGTCACCGCCTGGTCCTCATTTAGGAAAAAAAAAAAAAATTCTTCAGGGGGGAGAAAATTGAGCGGAGTGTTTATGTCAACTACATATTCCCCTAGATACGAATTTGTGACCACAAAATTTCTTACACAAATTCGGATCTACAGGGTATATACAGAAGACAGAGAGATCTTCTTGGCCCAGAAATTTTCCAGTTCTCCTACTTTCCGGGTGTTCTTCGTTTGGGGTGTGGTTTGAACGCTTTGAATTTATTTCGTTCTGTTCTGATTTTGAGTTCTGGGAACAGGAAAAGATACTGCGGATCCATCCTTGGGACTACAAGGTTTCCAGTTCTCTTCCTCTTCTTTTAGGGAGAACTAGAAGCGGCGAGTCTGGCAAAGAGACGCAAACCTCGCAGCGCTGCGCAACGCTCGGCGGTGGGGCATGAATTATGAGATGTAAACATTAGCTAAACACAAAAGGAGGAAGGGTCATCCTGAGGCTGCGGCAAGTCAGAATCGGGCCCTTCTGGGTGCCCTCCCGCCCCTCCCATCCCCCCAGGACTTTTTTTTAAAAAAGAAAAACAAAACCCCAATGGGCTCCTCCAGTGACCCTTGCAGCCTTTAGTTTGCGATCAAACGAATATCTATATATTTTTCAAGGCGCCTCTTAGCAAAGGGAGGGGGGGAAAGGCGGCTGGGTGTGAAGCGGGTGTCATAAAGTCCTTTTGGAAAATTTCAATGGTAAAATGAGGGAGAAACAGCTGTAAAGAAAAATGCTGGGAGACCAAGCAGATGGGGCCCTGGATATTTAATGACGGGCAATTCCGTTTACAACCTGAGAAAAAGATCAAAGGCGTTTCATTTCCGAATGAAGGGCAATGAAGAACCATAAAAATGCAGCCAGATGATATTCCGGTCCCTCCCAACCTCCCAAGACCTCCTGGGGCCAGAAATGGAGGATAATCCCTGAAGTGTGAGGAGGACCCCTGTTTCCCACCTCCCTAGCCCCAGGCAGGCAGTCTCTCTCTCTCTCTCTCTCTCTCTCTCTCTCTCTCAACTTGCTCACTCTGCCACCTGCTAGGGTTGCTGACAGTGGGACCCAAAAGGGGATCTGGGAGACCTGGGGGATCTGGGGTTTCCAGCATCCAGTACATGTACTAAACTGGGAGACAGGGGGCTGGGCTGGAGGGAACTGAATACTGCGAAAGCTGACAGCCTTCCCATTGTAAGGCCAAGCGTGCACAGAAGCAACTTCCTCCCCGCCCAGGCTCCCTACCCATCTCCCTAGGTCTGAACAATTTTTGTATCCCTAGTGAATAAGTCAGAATAATATCAATTTCGTTCACAAATACTGCAGTAACACACACACACACACACACACACACACACACACACACACACAAAAGACCCTCTAGGCCCCCACACTCCAGAAGTCTCTGCCCATCCCAGTCCTGGGACCCTTGCAGGTGGCTCAGAGGAGTGCTCCCATTTGCCTGCAACTAGGTCCAGAGACCCTTTTTTCTATCCCAAATCTAGAGTGCTCCTGTGGGCCTCCAGGCCTGATCTCTACCGCCAGCACCCTCCCAGCCAGGCGGGACTCACATATATTTGAAAAACCACACACACGATTCTACTGTAGCCATCTTAATCTCAGACCCCCATCTGGGCACCCAGGGACACTGAAGTCTAAGTAGGACCTCCACCAGGCCCCCGGCATCAAGCAAGGACCTTTCCAAGTCTTGTCAAAGGCCATTTAGGAGCTGCACAACCCACTCCAACTGTTCGGGCCCTTCCCCCACCCCATACCTCCTCAACTCTCTAGCTCTCTGAAACACGTCCAACTCAGGGCTTTTCAAAATTATGGGAGGGCCGCTGAGCTGCTCACGGGCATCTCTGCTGCTCTACACTTCTCTAGGGATGTGGCCCAGGTGCCCAGAACACCCCAGGAGAGAGGGATGGGAGGCAGGACCACCGAGGGGCTGTGTATGGCTGATCCTCGGTATACAGCACAGAAATGTTCTCCTCTGCGCGCTGGGAGCCGCCACCTGCCCATGCCACCCATCCCATGAATGTCCCACCCCCCACCCCAGCCCAGTCCAGCCGCGATGGGTGGAAGATAAGGTTTGTCAGCCATTCCCATGATGGGTTTCACCAGAACGGGAGTCTGCCTCTGTCCTCCATTCCCAGAAGAAGCCTAACATCAATGCGCATAATAATAAAAATAGGAAACGGACAGAGCTCCGCGCGCGTTGGAGCCACCTCCCCTGACCTCCAGCGGCCGGCGGCCGCCTTCTCCCGCAGCCACAGGTTGCTAGCGTGACCTTTCGCTGCTCGGCGCGCCCCTCCGCCGTCCCGATCGTGCCCAGCCAGCGAGAAATCATCTACCTTTTGTCGGCAGGGTGGGAGGGACAGGCAGAGCGAGGGCAGGAAACCAAAGGGCCAAGGAGACAAGCCCCAGCCGGTCCGCTCATCGCCCTGGCAGCCGCGGGAGTGGAAGGCCCAGCGCCGGAGCGGGCAGGGTACTCACGGGGCGGCTCCCCAACCTCCCGGCCACCGACCCGCCCGCGATCGGCGCGGCAACGGCCGAGTTCGCTCTTGTCCACTCTGGTGTGTCCAGAAAACCGAACCGCGGCCCGCCGGCAGAAGAGCTCTAGGCCCCCTTGGAGGCCGGAACAAGACTTTTTTTTTTTTTGGTGTGTTTTTGAAGCGCAAGTTTTCGTATTAATCTCATACTTTGGCAGTCTTTGTTAAACAGCTAGGAGCGTCACCAGGCTCTCGAACATTTTAATAATTTTTAGACGCGGTGACCTGCGGTTCACCCCTCTCCAGGCCTCCCCCATGAACAGCCAGTTACCATAATACAGCCGCGCAGTTCGCTAGGTCATCCTGAATTTTGTGCAGGTCATTACTTGGGCGAAAAATGACAGAGCAGAATTTTGGTTCAGTTCATCCTCTCCGGCTCACTTCTTGCCAGAACTTTCCCTTCACTGCAGCGTAACCCCCATCTCACAAAGGCCCCATTTGGAGAGGACTCAGCCTGCCCGGCCTGCGCTTTAATATTCTGTCATTCCTATGTTTTTGTCAGCTCTGGATCCCAGCAAAGAGGAAGAGGGTAGGATCCTGTGGGGGTTGCCTGTGTGGCCTGTGCAGGAGGCTGGCACCCGGAGAAGTGGAAATGTGGCCTTAGGGGTCTGTGTCCCAGAGAGCAGGCCAGAGAGCCCCCTTCCTCACAGTCTCCCCGATAAGTGGCTGAATTTGGCGGTCCTGTGTCTCAACCCTACTGCATACTCCATCTACTTTATTCTATCCCCCAATGTCAGAAATAGCCCCCATTTCTACCCAAACTTTGGAGGCCCCAGAGCTCAGGAATGACCCCCTCCACCTGGGGTGTGCGGTGAGATTTGGTCCATAGGCCAGTAAATTTGGGGAAGACAGAGAGAAATGCACCGGTCTAAGCTGAGGACTTGGCTTTCAGAGACTCTAATTCTTCCTTAAAAACAAAACAATATCCTCCCAGCCTGCAATTTTTGTTTAAAACCACTTATCTACACAGTAACTCCTTTGCGTACTCCTATCCCCACCACAAGAAGGTTCAGGGGCAAATCAAAGAGGCGTCAAAAATATTCAGAGATTGTCTTTGGTTTGTCCCTGTAGGATCAGAATCTGGTGGACTGCCAACAACACATCTCCCCTCTCTGCAGCCTCCGGGGGACCCATAAAGGCAGATCAGGTGACTCCCCTTCCATCCAGTTCAAGCCTAGGAGGAGTGAACTG